TAGTGTTCAGAGTGTCCTAATGTAGTGTTCAGAGTGTTCAGAGTGTCCTAATGTAGTGTTCAGAGTGTCCTAATGTAGTGTTCTAAGTGTTCAGAGTGTCTTAATGTAGTGTTCAGAGTTTCCTAATGTAGTGTTCAGAGTGTTCAGAGTGTCCTAATGTAGTGTTCAGAGTGTCCTAATGTAGTGTTCAGAGAGTCCTAGTGTAATGTTCAGAGTGTCCTAATGTAGTGTTCAGAGTGTTCAGAGTGTCCTAATGTAGTGTTAAGAGTGTCCTAATGTAGTGTTCAGAGTGTTCAGAGTGTCTTAATGTAGTGTTCAGAGTGTTCAGAGTGTCCTAATGTAGTGTTCAGAGTGTCCTAATGTAGTGTTCAGAGTGTCCTAGTGTAGTGTTCAGAGTGTCCTAATGTAGTGTTCAGATTGTTCAGAGTGTCAATTACCTGCATTTATCTCGTTCAGGACAAAATTTGCCAGAGGACTGAACAATATCATAGGTCCAGCTCATATTTGCCATCATAAAACTTGTATCCGCCTTCTCCGGAGTTTCCTCCGTTTTCTCTGGAGTAACCTCAGCCTTCTCTGGAGTAACCTCCGCCTTCTCTGGCGTTCCCTCCTTCTCTATGATACCACTTGCCTCTATTACAATCTCTTCCGATTTTTGTAAAGGCCTCTGATTAGGGCGTATCCTTGTCTGCCCCACCCCCAGACTGACTAGCATGAGGACAAGAAATGTTTTCAACATTTGTCTCATTTTTATTCTTTATTCATAGCTTTTTCATAATTCTGAAAATATAAATATCAAAATTACAATTGATCAAGTTGTTGTAAAAACAACGTTTATAGATAAAACTGAGAATTCAAAGTAAGTCTGTCCTAAATCATTCAAGTCACGGCATGGAGCGTTCTGAATTTGATTTCTATCAATACTTATCAATTATTATTAACCTTGGTACATTGCATACATCCTTGTGTTCATTCAACTTTTATATGTTTACTTAAGCATAAAGATTTTACATTTATGCACTAATTTTATTTAAACCTGTTTCTTCTTGTTTAATCTTAAACCTAGATATTCTTGTTATATCTTGAACCTAGTTCTTCTTGTTATATCTTGAACCTAGTTATTCTTGTTATATCTTGAACCTAGTTTTTCTTTTTATATCTTGAACCTAGTTCTTCTTGTTTTATCTTGAACCTAGTTCTTCTTGTTATATCTTGAACCTAGTTCTTCTTGTTATATCTTGATAGGTCTTCTTGTTATATCCTAGGTCTTCTTGTTACATCTTGAACCTAGGTCTTCTTGTTATATCTTGAACCTAGTTCTTCTTGTTATATCTTGAGCCTAGGTCTTCTTGTTATATCTTGAACCTGGTTCTTCTTGTTATATCTTAAACCTAGTTCTTCTTGTTATATCTTGAGCCTAGGTCTTCTTGTTATATCTTAAACCTAGGTCTTCTTGTTATATCTTGAACCTAGGTCTTCTTGTTATATCTTGAGCCTAGGTCTTCTTGTTATATCCTAGGTCTTCTTGTTACATCTTGAACCTAGGTCTTCTTGTTATATCTTGAACCTGGTTCTTCTTGTTATATCTTGAACTTGGTTCTTCTTGTTATATCTTAAACCTAGGTCTTCTTGTTATATCTTGAACCTAGTTCTTCTTGTTATATCTTGAACTTGGTTCTTCTTGTTATATCCACACAGATCGTAACATGTTCACTATTTCACTTAAACGCTTGCGTAACTGTATTGCACAGCTGTAAAAATTGCGTACGCCTAGTTATCTTGCGAGCGTCAGTGTTGATTTCAAGATTGTGTGCGCGCTTGGAGCACCGGTACTTTCACCCAAGTGTGCTCCGTTAACTTACTGTGCGTGATTCTAAAATAGATTATATTGAGCGCATGTCAAGAAAAATAAGTGTGAATCGTAAAAAACTCCTTAAAAATGTTTTATTGTATTGGATACTTAATGGTATTTTCCTATCCGACCTATGCGAGGAGAGATGTTTATAAATACCCTGCTTTGAAAATCTTAAAATTTATTTGCAAAGTTATTCTATCTATTCCATCCAACTTAAGATGTCTCCGAGGTTATTGGTACTTAGTTTTTAAAATCTGAAAAGGTTCAGACCATTTATATACAGCTCATTAAAAAGAATGAGAACTGAACCATATGAACAATTATCTAAAATTAAAATTTTTTGATTTTCACCGTCGTGCGATAAATTTTACACAGAAAAATAATAAAAAATGTCCAACACTATTAAATATATTAAAATAATATTAAAAAAAATGATTTTAAAAAAAGGATATAATCCAAGATGGGGGCGGGGGCAACTTAAATGCATAAAAAGACTACTTAAACGCATAAAATAATTCCAATTATAAAAGTTTAAGTAAAAATGTTATCAAAAAACTAAATTTATGTACAAACCTAGCTTAGGAACCCAGCGCTATACCCAGGTTTCTCAAAGTTACTCCCGCCGTTTACCCGCACTTAAACGATTTTACCGGGAAACTAAATTGTCTCTACCCTATNAGCTATACGCAACAACAAAACAAACAAGCTATACGCAACAACAAAACAAACAAGCTATATGAAACAACAAGACAAACAAGCTATACGCAATAACAAGACAAACAAGCTATACGCAATAACAAGACAAACAAGAATTGTGAATGTAAATATTACATCAACAGTATATATTATACTGTTAAATAAATACACGTTTAAACCAAGAAATACAACAGGAAATCGAGTTTGGGAAGAAATCATCATCATTGGAGTACTTTTGGAGACCCCCGTGAACGTCTCGTTGGAGACCTTTAGATAATTGTTGGAAACCCCTATATTTTCATTGGAGTCCCCAGATTTTTCGTTGGAGACCCGCAGATTCTCGTTTGAGAATCCCATATTTTCATTGGAGACCTCATGTTTTAGATGGAGACCCTAATTTTATCGTTAGAGATCCCATATTGCAGGGGTCCCCAATAAAAATCTGTGGGTCTCCAATAGTACTCCATTGATGATAATTTCTTCACAGACCCCAGGAAATCCCATAAACTAAAGTGTACTGCAGCTTCTATGAAAAATGTAAACACGTCAGTGATGACCAGGATAAGCTTTGTTTCAACGATAATATATATATAGATATGCAGACAGGTATAAATTTAGAGGTCTTGAGATAATGAGCACAAAGCACCATCTCTGTCGTATACAAATGCGTATTTCCTACAGATAGCAGAAAGGGGAGAAAGGCATATAGAAAGTAATCAATTTGCTATAGATGTCTCTTTGTGCACATTTTTTCAGAGGTTCAAAAATTAGTTGTCTGCTACAGGCAATTTAGGAAGGAGGTTTCTACCTGCCTGCATATCTATATATATATTATCGTTGTTTGTTTACATTCCTACCGGAAACTGCAGTACACATGGAATTTCCCTTAACATTTCTCGGTTTAAACAATTTAAACTAGCAACTTTACAATAACAAACAGACAAACTTGACAACTAAAAACTCTCAAGTTTATTTATTGTTTACATAAAGAAATATTCGACAAAACTCATTTCCGTCCTGATTCACACCCTGTATCGGACCAATAATCTGGGTCCCTAGAAATTACATTTTAAGGGTCCCTTTAAGAACCTTTGTTAAAATCTGAAGTGTTAAAATTAGAGAAGAATAAAGGTTCGCGGATTGTTTTGTGGTACCATGTGAGTATTAAAAAAATTAAAACAATATTCTAAAATATTGCAAAAATTCCAAGCGAAAGAATTTCATGAAAAAAAATTGTTTTGATAAAGACTACGCTTATCACACTTTTTTTTGACTCACCCTGGATGGTAGACCTTTTTTTGGAAAAAAATTTCACAGGAAAATAAATTGAAACTAAACTATTTTCAAAGTTTTAACAAGAAATATATATGTTTACTTGTCGGTTTGTTTCCAATAAACGTTAAAACTGCTGAACCGATGACCCCGGGAAGGTTTATGAAAGCTCAAAATTTCAAAAAGTTCTCTCCAAACTTTTTTATTTTTATAAACATTTGAAAATTAACAAAAACAATTTAAATGACTCTGCGACCTTTTTTTATTTTTGTTTTATACTGTCCGAGGGAGGGAACCTCCGGACGCCCTGAGCCTCGGCTAAGCAGATGCGAGCCTCCCTTATTTGCTAGGCAGACCGAGCCTCCACCATGCAGCAGGAACCTCCGATATACAGTAAACGAGCCTCCGCTATACAGAATAGATTCCTAAAAACTCGTGGTTTTAACATGTAGTATTTTTTGTACTTTTTCAACATAGTGGCATAAAAAGTTAATCAAAGATCAGACGCATTAATCAATTATTATAAATAGTGACTAATTATGTCTAGTGAGGTTGTTTATACAACTTTAACATTTTTTACGCCAAAAGGACAACATTTAGAGAAAAAATTCAGATTAGTAGTTTTATTTGATATTTGATTTAAGCAATACCTTTTTTCAAATTTTTATCAAATTAAGTTAATCAAAAATTTGACATTGACAAATAGTCAGAATCTAAAAGAATATCCCAAACAAGGTATTGCTTAAATCAAGATTTAAAAAAAAAAATAAACTAAGATCAAATCAGAAATGAATTTCCAAATAGCCTCCTTACTGCATAAGAAATGTTTTATTGTAAAACATAAATCTTATAAACCAATTTAAGCAAATATAAGTTGCTGATAATGACAATCAATAAACAACACTATCTTGTGCCACTGTTGATAAACATGAAAAAAAATCTATATTATATATATATATATGTAAAAATCCAGAGCTATGAGTAAGTTTGCTATATAGCGGAGGCTCCTTTACTGCATGACGGAGGCTCGGTCAGTCTAGAAAATCTGGGAGGCTTGTGTCTACATGGCGGAGGATAATGGCGTCAGGGGGTTCCCTTCCTCATTGTACAAAGAGAAAGAGCCACAATTAAAAGTTNTTAAAATTTTTTATCAGATTAAGATAATCAAAATTTGACATTGACAAAAAAATTCTCTAAAAGGTTATTGATTAAATCAAAGATTAAAACAATATAAACTAAGTTCAATTCAGAAACGAAATCTCAAATAGCCACCTTCATCACCAGTTTAGTAAAGCGTGACCGGTCACTATGTCCTTCATCACCAGTTTAGTAAAGCGTGACCGGTCACTATGTCCTTTATCATGTTTATATCCGCATATTAAATAGTGTAATTAGAATTTAAGATTTTGGAAATCAATTATGATACAAAAGCTCAAACTTAGTGTAAAGAAAAGAGGAAGGAGTATTAATAAGAGGATGAAAATTATCCCAAAAACCGTTTTTTCACTTAAAATGGTTTAGGAAATCCCAAGGAGGAGGGGGGGGGCTATACTTTAAACCCGGATACACGTGACCTTGAGAGAGCAACAGTTAAAGTAATTAGATAGAAGATACAGTTGGATAAATATAGTCTGTACAAGGATGGATTAAATAGATGCAAGAAAAAGATAAAAACATTCTTTTGTTATTTTGTTTTGTTATTTAAACTGTTTTTATGATATAATTGTTATAATTATAAAAATTGTCTTAACAATACATTTTTATAAATAAAGAGAGAATGCGCGTTATTTATAAATGCACCAATGCTTCATTTTTACTTTATACTTCACATTTTTCTTAAATATGATGGTGTACGTACTACGTAGTGCTTTAGGCCTAATAAACTTAAAATAGGAAGTATAACAACCCAATATGCACATTTGTAAGGTTGTGTCAAAATTTAATGTCAACATTTTTTTTGTTCAGTTTAATCTTATCAGTTTA